TGGGTAATTCTAGATTATGATCATGGTCATGGTCAAATAGACAGACAATAATAAAGTCTAACGCAACTACTATTTTATATTTATATACTGTATATAGTACAAAAAAACAATGTATATACAGGGATAGCATTTTGGATAACCTTTATAGCCAACTTTTACTTGTTGATTGAACCACTTTTTTGGTTTTAGGAAGATTTTTGTGCCACCAATGCCTTGGAAAGATAGAGTGGAATTGGGAGACAGAGGGTCAAGTATAGGGTTGGGTACCGAGAACCGGTTCCGGTTCGGAACCGGTTCCAACATTTAGATTCCAACGGCATCATGAATTTCGGTTCCGCTTTTCGATGCATGAGGAAATGTTTCTCGCCGCTCTCCGTAGCCTACTGTATGACTGCGGCGGGGCGGGAAATGTAGCATTGTACCTACAGCGTAACCTGGGACCAGGCCGGCCCGTCGCACTGGCCTTTAGTGATGGGCATTTAGATTCCCTTCGGGGACACAAATCTTTTGATTCAGTTCACTTTAAAGATTCGTTCACTGATTCGTTCACCGGTTCGCGAATGACTTCTGGTGATTTGCACATTCGCGAACGATTCGTCTTTGTACTTAATTCGTTCAGTGAGTCTTCACTACTGCCGAAGTCCGTTCAAGAAGTTTGCTGGCGTAAAATGTATGATATTAAAACACATTTTACACCTCACCTTGTTGCCCCATAAATTATGCTCTGGGAATAGGCTACATATTATTTAAGAAATATAATTGGCCATTGTTAAATCTCATAAATGTGTGCCTGACAGCAGGCTAGCACGTTATACTTTCAAACCCATGCACGTACTATGTGGCCTAACTTAAATCCCAAAGCATTAAACTCCATTTGGCCGAGTTCAAAGTGAATAAAAAAATATATCCTCTACATCGGTGACGATTTATTCATATTCTATGTACCCATCTATGTTTACCTTTAGCTAGCGACTAAGCTAGTGGGACGCTACGGAGCCCAGCTATCCGCCCTCTGAAGCTTTTAGGGCCGACAGGGGGAGGAGAATGTCTCGCTAACGCTGTGTGTGTGTGTTTCACATTAGCGGGACGCTATGGAGCTCAGGTATCCGCCCTCTGAAGCTTTTAGGGCCGACAGGGGAAGAAGAATACAACGCTGTGTGTATTTATCGCTAAGCTAGCGGCTAAGCTAGCTGGACGCTACGGAGCCCAGCTATCCGCCCTCTGAAGCTTTTAGGGCCGTCTGGGGGAGAAGAATACAACGCTGTGTGTATTTATCGCTAAGCTAGCGGCTACGCTAGCTGGACGCTACGGAGCCCAACGAACGACCCATCACTACTGGCGTTATAGATGTTCGTCTAGGGCGCCAGATCTGTGGAGGCGCTGCGCTGACAGCTCTGGGAAGAAAAAAAAAGTTTTGACCGTTGGTGCTCATCCTAATTTTCGGCCTTGATGTAACAACATTCATAATTAAGTAAATGTAACACCCTTTTCATCCCGGTTACACTTTTCATTTGCCTTGTACGATGGGCGCTGTAAGTGATGAAAATGGGGGATGTTGGCTTATCTGGCACCCGCAGCTCACAGCCAAAGTGCGAGTGAGCGTGGGAGAAAGGGAGGGTGCACCGGTACTAGCGCTGTTGTTATTAGCATCTGGTGCTAGCTGCTCTAACGGAATAAGAAGATGTTTCTACAATGATGTGGAGGGAGAGTCCTCTCCAGTCAGACTGAGAGGCTGATAACTACAGCTCAGTGAGGTAAAGGACTCTTGAGTGTTTAGATAGTTCACTTTAGTCTAAGTTATCTCAGTGGGTCTCAAACGTTTTGATCACAATTTATGTAAACACATATTTCCAAGGCACTCCTTTATAATTATTGGGATAAAACAGGTTTGAAATCATTCCAATGTATACTATAGGACAGTAAACCAGACATATCATTTTAAACTGGAGAGATAAAAAAATATGCATAAATAAAAAAGTAAAATAAGATATGAATGAACAACAAAAATAAAATATGTTACATGTATTTGTTATTGGCTATGGTAGGTTATTGGTTATGTTCACATACTTATTTCATTATTACAATGTAAACCGATCTTTTTCATATGGGTGTTTAGAGTTGTACCCCCTAGATCTAGTTTCTAGTAATTCTGCTTAAAGTGCACCAGATTGAAGCATTTTACTTTAAAATGTTCAAACATTTCTTCCCGGTATGCCTGAGAAGGCAGATATGCTTGTTTTTCTCAACAAGAACTGTATTTAAATGGGGGGGGGGGTTCCTTTAAAAGTTGGACTGTTGCACTGTTGTAGCTTCAGTGGTTCTCAGGTTACAGTTACATAGTAGTGAATATAAACAGACTGATTAATGTGAATATTACTGTAAACTAACCTGTGTAAAAGTTTCTCGAATAAATGTAATTTTTTTGGTGGAAGAAGCATGTATCATTTTTTTACCCTGCCCCTCAAAGAATCGGAATTGAGAACCGTTAAGAACCGGAATCGAAAAGTAGAATCGGAATCGGAATCAGAATCGTGGAAATTCAAACGATACCCAACCCTAGTCAGGTACTCCCCAGAATGAATTCAGCTTCAGTATTTGGATGCCAGACCAATAGATTGAACCACTTTTTGTCGACCCCATGGGCAGTTTGTCTTTGGAGAGCCTACTGACCCCAAAAAATGTGCTTCAACAGTCGCAAGGACAGGCAAAGTCTTCAATAACAATAAAGTTGCAATTCTGAGCAAGGTAGTGTCATGAGTGAGGGTAAGACAGAGCATAAAATTGACAGAAGTATTGCTGCAGCATTTTTATTGTCACAAACATTGTACTGTACGGTTGGAGTTGATATTAAAGCATGCTCGCTGAACCCTTAAAATATATAAAACGTTAACGCTGTTCGGTGTAATCCATCACTACCTGGGGCTGGCTAGATGGGTTTCGTAGCAGCAGAAGGTGATGTTTTACCGTCTTTGGTGTGTCTGATTAGTCAGTTAAAAGCAAACACTAGAAAAGAAGCAAGCTGAAATAAAACTGTTCATCCAGGCAATGCAGGGAGCTTATTGAAGCGGACATTTTAATCAGCTACCTGATGGCTGAGATGGTGTCGCCTCGGTTTGGTCTGTCAAGCTGGGTTGTGGGCGATGATATCTGCTCCTGGGGGCCGGTAGAGGAGGGGCAGGAGAAGCTTTGAGAAGGAAAGGTGGTGACAGGGAGAGTCGGCCGCCGGTGCCTGAAACAGCTGGCTTTGCATTCTGCATGAAGGGGAGGAATCAACAGCGAATCAAATCACTGTCATTCTCCGTGATCAAAAGGACTATAGAGTTTCTCTCCACGGATTTCAGAAACACAAGAGACTGGCTCTCAGTGTCTTCACAGTGTGGCTCTGTTTCTGTTGGAAAAAACTCAGTTGGCGTGTTAGTGCTACCTGCTGCAAAGTAATATGACCCCCTTATGTTTCTTTGGATCTGCTTCACTTGAGTTTCAAAGTTATTACTGTTTACTGCTAATGTGCAGTCATATCAATCCGCAGAAAGAAGTCCAGACAATTTAACGTTAGCGGAGGCCAAAACAAATTAATTAGTTTTTCTCCATCAGAAAACACCATGGGATATTTTGGAATATAACTTTTTATATAAGTGAAGAGCAGGAAACTTTGGATTCACAGAAGAACAAGAAAACAGCAGAAGAGAAGGAAAGAGGTTCAAATATAAACACTGGGAACAGCAGAAGAAGACAGACAGAAAGTAAACACTAACGGGAACAGCAGAAGAAGACAGACAGGAAGTGAAACCTGACAGGAACACGGTATGGGCTCTGGCAGTGTTTAAAGACTACTTAATGGAAAAGAGAATGTGAACAGACTACCAGTTACAGGAAACCTTGATCAGTGCTGCCGTCTTTTTAAGTTACGTTGCTTTCGCTGCAGTTCAAATTGTTGCTTTGTTGTAAAGGAGTACTTCCCTTAGCTGAAGCAATACAAATATTCTGAATATGTTTTGTCAAATGTATTAGTAATAAGCAGGTTAACCGTTACTTGTATTTTTATAAAATTCACATATTTGATATATTTTGTTAGGTTCTTTGCCTTATGCACCTCTTTGCACTGTGCCCTTCTCCTTTGCTTTATAAATTACCATGCTGTTAACACAGCCTCGCAGTGCGATTTCATGAGTGAGATCCATTTCACCGAACAAGTGTGTCAAACCTCTCGCTAACTCTCCTACCAACTAATCACCGGGGAGTTCATGGTGTGGGTGGGTGTCATCTCTCCATCTGTGTCCCACTTGTAACAGTACCACGCATATCGCCAGCCATCTGCCAATTTTTACTGCACACCAGTATTGTTGTTAGATTTGTCATGCTGCTTGCAAAGAAGCTGGTTACTCCTCCACAACAAGTACATATTAGCAAGTATCGTACACATCTTGTTGACAGTTACCACATCAAATGGAAAGCATACTTGGGCTGGGTGACATGAAGAAAACCATATATCACAAGTATATTTTACCAAATACCTCGTTATAGATTATTGCGACGATAATGAAGAGTTGACAGTTGGTCTTTACACAATGAGAATGTTTTAATAATTATTAGTAATGTGGATATAATGACTAAGTAGGTGAAGGCAAGGAATAGAACTACTAGTACAGTATGGGAAATGACGTAACTTTGTTGTAATGCCGACCGAATTTCAACTCGATCTAATCTCTTATCACAATATCAATGTTAAGACAATATATTGCCGCTTTAACCTAATGCATACGCAAAATTCTTTATAACAAATTTGAGGATTTTGTGAAAACTTTCTCAGACTAATATCATTACAATTAGTTTACAAACAGTAGGAGATGCATTAAACAAATGTCACCTTGATTTCACTTGATTCACTTTCATGTCATCATGTAGGCATGTGTTTTGAAGTGACATCTTATTATCATGTAGTCCTTTTGGGTTTAGAATTATATTCGTTGTTGAATTTTTCCCATTCTGTTTTTTCACAGACCTGAATCATAGAGAGAGATGACCCTAGTTTTGTCCATGAATCCTTTCCTGGACCCAGAGGGAGACCCTCCGCCCTCCACATTCCCACCCATATGGGAATCAAAACGCTGCACTAAGACCTGCCTGTCGGACCCAGCCCCCCCCTGCAGCTCTGAAGAGCCATGTGCACAAGGTAACAAAGATCACTCACAATTCATTCAGTAGTTCATTTAAGTAGAATATAATCAGAATCTGATCCACAAAGTTATTTGATAACCAAGGATATTGTACCACATCCTATAGTCCTGGCAATATGCCTACCTGTAAGCTAGCGTCACAAGCGCTCCCTCAACTAAAAGCGATAGGATTCTTCCATCGGATTTTGGAATATTGCCGAAAATAACATCTTCAGCAAACGCATGTTTATGATACTTACACATTTTGGTCAGCTGGATAATCTCTACATATTAACACATCTTTTAAGCTTCAATGCCAGAAGTAAAGAGTTAACGTTAGGCTATAAACTAACTACATCACAATCACATGACTTCACGTTACCACTGTCATCTCATTTAGTCAACGTTGTTTTTCTGACATATAGAAGCTTCAGTTATTGACCAGTGGGGTATTTACTGACGTATTGTTTCTGTCATACAAGAAAACGTGACCATATCTTCAGCATGTGTTAACAGCAGATCTTATTTTAGCCATAAAACCCAAAACATGTTTAAAAAAACTGTTGACTTTTAGATGAAGTAAGCGTGAGTGCTAAAATATTAAATCCAGTTTTAAGACTCATTCCTGCACGACCCTTTTAACACTATAAAAGCCCCCCCCTCCCCCTTGTGTATGTGTGGGGGGGGGCGCAACTTCCAACAGGAGTCATTTGGGGGGGCTCTTGGGAAAAAAGAAAAATAACCACTGCCCTAGAGCAGTGGTTCCCAACCTGGGGGGGGGGGGGGGGGCGCCAAAGATCGCAGGGGGGGGCGCCAGGCCTCAGATGATTTGAGGCCAAATATTATATTTATATATATTTTATTTTTTATTTATTTTTTACATATAATTGTAACGCAATACATGATTGTCACTAAAAGCCTTGTCTCTACATTACAATAAAATATAAAAAATAATTGATTAATTAATTTGAATACAAATTCAAGTTAGTATTAAAGGCATAAAAAGACAGAAATGTATAATTCTTTCTTTAATAGAAATGTTTCTTCTGTGCGTTAAGTGTCCAAACCGGGCTTGTCTAGATAAGCGCAATTTTAAAACATAGTCATTGTCCATGCCGGTTTCAGTTCATTATTTGTCACAGTTGCTCCAATCAGATCGGTCTCCTCCATTTTGTAGAGTATTTACGACTTTTGAATCCACATAAACACATCGGAAAAATCCGGCTTACTTTGAGCATGTGTTTTAAACAGTTTAATCCCTTTGTGAATTGTTTCCACTTGCGCCGTCCTTTAATTTCTTCATACAGCGGGAATCTAAATGAATTAATCCTGAGTCCAATAACCATCAAAGTCACTCCAATAGTGCTCCTTAATTACGCTTTCTTCCTCCTTTAACAAAATACTTCACATTCATCCAGTTTGTGACAGTAGTTGTAGCCTTTTTGAGACTTTGAAGCTTTAATTACCGCTGTTGTGTGTGTGTGGGGGGGGGGGGCGCAACTTCCAACAGGAGTCATTTGGGGGGGCTCTTGGGAAAAAAGGTTGGGAACCACTGCCCTAGAGGATGTGACGTCCACCCCCCAATTAAAACATGTTCATACAATACTGAATACATTTGAAGCCATTTTGACGTATATTACCTGTCAATAAGTTTCTGTTTTTGTAGTGTATTTGTCTTTTGTAGAGATTTTCCATTTATTCTTTATAAAATCTCGCCTAGGGCAGCAAATTGGCTAGAACCGGCCCTGGTACTAGGCCTCAAGAGCCTTTCTTGTGCTGGCATACACACAGAAACAAATTGGCGGGGCGCACTTCGCACGCACTAAAAAATTCCACGCGCTCCGCGCTCACATTATGCTAGACCCACGTGCCTTAGCACCGCTGCTATGACTCCATCCTAGGGGAAACACAGGGGGGGGGGAATCGCAACGCCCTACTACATAGTGCAGCACATGCAACTGAGCAATTACAGGGCTCAACATTAAGGACTGCCCGATGGCCCGGGGCCATCTAGTATTTAGCTTGGGCAATGAAGCCTCACCTGCTGGTTGCCCGATCGGCAATCTATTATGCCAGTATCATGCAGCTCGCGGATCCAGTAATGAGTGACCCGACAGTAAAACTAAACATATCTATAACTAGTTTAGGTAGTTTGAGAGGTAATTAAAATAGCTACGTGTGATATTCTAACCTGAAGTGTGTGTTTTGTCCGCTCACCGCTGCATGTGATCATGCAGAGCTGCGTGTCGACTCGTCAGCAGCAGATGATCTCTCTCTCCCGTCAGATTAGACATCACTCGCGTTTATGTCCATATCGATCAGATCCAGCTAGTTCTAGCTAATGATATGACTACCTGCTTATTAAAAGACACCTAAACAATAAGTGTGGCTATGCAACTGGGTGAGGCCACAAAGTATAAACCCGGAACCCTGAGGCATTACCAACAGATCAACGCACAATCAACCCACACAGGACATCTCTTTCTCCACATTAAGTGTTAGACATTAAAATGGACTATTCTTGTCTGTCACATAAGTGGCGCAACTGAAGCGGTATTGCGCTAAAGGGAAATTATTTTGACCGAAGAGATTTAGATTTGCCGGCTAACGGGAACTCTGACGTCGCCATTTTGTGTGCTTCGCGGATGCGCTCGGCTCCTCTCGACTGCTGCTCGGGTCTGCTCGGTCAGCTTCCGGATGAGGAGGCATTCGTTCGACCAACTTACAGTAGATAACATTACAAACATTTTTAACAGGGGCCATAATAGTGTAAATAATGTTTGTTTTGGCATTAATAACTGAATGTAATGTTTTCTACTTTTTTACATCTGGGAAGGCATTTGCCTTCATCAGATGGAAAGTGTCTTGACCAACAACTTAAGTATTTCTTGTAGCTATGCAGGACATGCAAGCGAGCAAACACAAACAAGAACAAACAAACAAGTGAAATGAAGAATACAATTGAAATTATACAATATAATATTGTGGTGGTTCATCTTATAATTCATGTCATTTAAGGATTAATTTAAGTACACTGCTATTTGAATAGTCATTTCAGAATCAACTGAGTTACCAAAGAAAGCTGTTCTTCTAGAAAAGCTGGCTGTCCTTAGGCTTGTATTGGTTCTAATGTTCAACTCAAGCTTAACCAGGGTGACTGTTAACAAAACATTTTCTCCATTCAAAGGCTAGTGTGTTGCCTAGTATTATATTTATGTTGTTTTTACACCACTTTTGTTAACAACTCTTAAATGTACGTTGTGTCTGCAGCCCCCCCCTGCAGACGAGCTCCTGATCATGTCTCAGTATCAAGGATTGCGTACTTCAAGAGGAAGTTTGTGGATGATGAGGATGAGCCGCCCTTCAGCTTCAGGACGTACTGCCAGACTGTACGTTTTGACACACACACATTCTTACACTCAGTACACAGTGTATCCCAACTGACCACATTACAATGCCATTCTCTTAAATAACTCCAGTATCATTTTCGACTGTGAATTTAGCTTACAAAAAATGTCAAAGCTGCCAAAACTGCTTACTATTATACTGTATCATTTGTCATCATTCATTTTGACTGTCACTGTGTCAGAAATCATATTCATCCAACATGTCCTATATGATGTAATGTGATTACAAAGTGTCCTCTATAGTCATCCTAACAGAAATAACAGACACTTAGGAGTCATCAAAATTCTGTTTTGCATGACTTACATATTTGTTTCAGGTATGGGAATGTATAAGGGCACCATACATTGTATACATCTGCATGAAAGTAAACAGGGATACATGTTGGTGTTTTTCAAACAACAATCATGCATGCAAGCATACAACACTGCTACCATCAGATGGGTTATAAAGGTAGTGCCCATTGGTGGAAGAAGTACTCGGAACCTTTTCTTAAGTAGAAATCAAGTAAAAGCCCTAATTGAAACTGTGACTTAAGTAGAAGTACCAGTATTACGAGCAAAATGTACTTCATGTATTAAAAGGTATAGATATCATACAGTTTTTTATAAATGACAAATGCATGTTGGATCATTTAAATGTTGCAGCTTATCAATGTGGGGCCAATTTACTATGTCAAATACTTAGTATATTAGCAGTTACAAGTCAGGCAAAATATTACTTAAGTACTATAGTTGAGTAAATGTACTTTTTGCCATTGGTAGTGCTGCATTGGTTGAGTTAGGTTAACGATAGACAAAAAAGGGATTCATTTGCCTGCATCTCACTTTTTTTAGTTAGTTTGCATTAACATTATTTTTGCCAGAAAAAAATATAAAACCCCACTCACTTTATATTTGGTGTCTGGCCTTCTATCAACTGACCAGGCTACATATATCTAACGTGTCCTCAGGTTGCTCCGGTGCTGGAGGAGCGCGCCCACGTGCTGCGCCTCTCCCTGGAGAAGATGCGCTTCATCGACGACCCCGAGGCCTTCCTCCGGCGCTCCGTCCTCGTGAACAACCTCCTCCGGCGCCTGCGGACCGAGATCCTCCTCCAGAGCGCCGACTGGTGCTTCCCCCCAAACGCTGCCTTCACCCCCAGCCCCCCGGCCCCCAGCGCTAACCCCTCCCACCAGGCCCTCCACGGAGCAGTGCCCACCCGCATCTGCTTAGCACCCCAAGCCGGACCTCCTTTCCGTAAGCGCTTCCGGGTGGTCCGTGCGGGGCAGGGGGATCTACGCCCCGACTCCGCCCAGACGTGCTGCTGCATCTACGCAGCAGCGGCGGCTGCAGGACACTACCTCCACCTGCCTTTCTCCATGTACGACGCAGCACTCTCCACCTGCCCGTCTGCACCGCACTCCTCTTTCTTTCAGCTAGCTGGCCATAGTAAGTTAGGGCTGACAGTGGCAATAGAAGAGCATGACGATGAGGATGAAGAGGAGGAGGAAGAAGAGGAAAATGAAGATGAAGAAGAGGGGGAGGAAGAAGAAGATGATAGAAGAGAGGCAGGGCCTTCCCTGGATGTTGTTAAGGACAAGTCAAGCCAGAAAAGCAGGACTAGGACCTTGCTGGGTCACGCACACACAAGGACAGAGGAAGACCGCTGCATGACAGATAGGGAGGAAGAGGAGGAGGAAGAAGAGGAGCAGGATGAAGAGGAGGAGGAAGAGGAGGAAGGGCAGGTTGTTCTTCAAAAAGTCAGCCCGTGGCACCGCAGGGCTCATAGACACTGATCTTGCTTTCTGAGAATGTAAATGTAACGATGACGACAGCTGTCCTCAGATAAAGATACTTTCTCCTCAGACGATGGAGGTGTGAGCTACCTACTATAGTAATGCCAAGTCAGCTTTATTTGGATGTGCCAATACAGTGGTGCATGTTTTTGTAGGCTGACCCGGAAGTTAGCATCACAGGGGCTCCCTCAACAAATATCAAATGTGATTTTTCCATTGGATTTTGGAATATTGCAGAAAATAAGCTCTGTGGCAAACACATGTTTATGATACTTAACAGGTTTCATTCAGAATGATAATCTCCACATATTAACATATATTTTTCGTAACGTGAATTTGACGGCAAAGTTGAAAAAGTTGAACTCGCTTCAATCGCGTCTATCTGCGTCTTTACATTGATTTGACCGGACGAGATGCGACCCAAAAATCATATCGCGTCCGGTGTGAACGCACTCACCAGTGTGATATTAACTGACGTATTCTATGTTGTAAAACAAAACATGGAAATCTCTTCAGCTTGTGTTAACCGCAGACCTTATTTTGGAAATATAACAAAAAATACGTTGAAAAACGACTTCAAGACGAGGGAGCTTAGGTGTGCTAAAATGCTAACTCATTTCCAGAGCTTAGGACTCATTCCTGCACTACTCTATAAACTTCAGGATTGCGCACATATAAACTTTATTATTTTGCTTGTGTTAAGATCACATTAAAAAAAACTACATAGTAAGATCTTGGCCACTGTTGGCACTGGAATACTTTGGAGAGATAGATAGATAAATAGGCTAAGGTCACATAGAGTGGGATCTTCAATCCTAAAAGTGAAGTGAAGGGTCTCCAAGACCATTTTTACAGCCCCACAGCACAAAACTAAAGGTCTTAGTGGGGTTTATATTGGTGCACCGGTCTTGTTTCAGGACCCTAAACAAGCCTACAAAAGGTGTTGTGGATTTGGGAGTGTGTGCTTCTGTGCGTGTATGTGCGTGAGTCAGCAAGATATTATGTAGCATTTTAAAACTTGATTTAAGCAGTTGTTTTAATTAAACATGGGTATATTTTAAAGCTGTCTCAGGCAATGGCGCGTGACTGTGCTGCAGTGGCGGCATCATGTGTTTTTCTTCAAATTACTTTAAGAGACAACAATCATAAACATTTCAAATGTTAAATCTCAAGTTCAAGTGCCTTAGTGTTTTTATAGATTCTTGTATATTGTGTTTTAATGTAATTGTTCTTGTTGCTAAGTATCTTGCATTCCAAGTGACTGCGTTTGACTGAAACAGGACATAGGCATGTAGTTAAATGCAGGGATTCTGTGTCTATGAAAGCTCAAACTGAATTTCAACACCCAAAATGCATGTTTTCTAGCATTACGTGTCTTGACAACGCACAAACTTGAAAGCAACTTTCAAGTGAAGTTGCTAAAGTCTTGTTCAAAACCTCCTTTACTTAGATTCAATCAGGAGAGGCTTGTTATGGTTGGGTCGCTCTGTCCACTGATGAAGTTTCACCAAAAGTCTGCAGCATTATGGATTATAACCAATAAGGTTCATCACGGAAATACATGTATAGCAAACACAACAGGACAAGTCAGATTCACTCAGTTCTATTTGAAGTTAAAGGAATAGTTTGTCATTTTAGGGGATATACTTGCAATTAAAACCTTTTTGCAGTAACAGTACCGGCACTTCTAAAGCTGACTAAATGACATGTTATATCCCAATGGTTTTACGAGGGGAGCCTTACTCTGGCTAGATTTGTAAAACTGTGCATAGATTCACGACCAAAGTTTTTGGTACGCACAAAAACAGAAATATGCATACGCAGATTTATAAAGGTTCATGATGTTGCTCATGACATTGTTTTAGGTCCCTGTGCTTAAGCCTAGTTTTCAATCGTTTCTGCACCCGACCAGGAAATAGTCAAACAACATGTGTCATTGTTATACTTTGGCAGCTGTATGGATTTAACTATTTTAATACAAATATTAAAATAGGTAAATTAAAGAGCTTTAGAAGTGCTTGGAGGCTCTAATTTGGATATTATCAAGCTAGCTGTTTCTACCATGGATGTACTAAGAGATTTGGATAAAGTGTTGGAGGCGGGGCCCTGTTCTTTCCTTTGAAAATTGCTCAGTGGCGCATGGCTTGACTCTTGTGTTCAAAAATAGCTGGATCATTCCAGGATCTGGGCCCATAGAGCATGTGTTTACCTTGAGCCCCGCCTCCAATCCGCTGCGTCACAGCCCAGACTCAGCTCTTCCAAATATTTGGAGAAGCAAATCATTCTAGATTGGCTTTAGTGCATTTTACAACTTCTAGGTCCCAATAATTTAACAAAGGGCTATGGAAATGTTCTTAATGGGAAGTTTATTTAGCAAAAAATACACAGACGCATCTTTCCCAATGTAATTCAAGAGAAAAAAGTATTGTTGGGCCCAATGACATCACGGACTGACACATAAGTTGTAGTACCACCATTTGGCCACTAGGAAAATCTACTTCTACGCTTGGCGCACTTTCAGGGGGCTTGGTTTCTACCTGTTTCAGTCTTTGTGCTAAGGTAAGCTAACTGGTTGCTACTTCGTATTTACATTCATGACAGTGATATCAATCTTACTCTCAATAAGAAATAATGTTTCTAGTGTTGCAGGCAATATAATTTAGTAAACATGTATCTCAACATACAGAGCTAAATATCACGTCCTTATCAAAATCTGACAGGCTTAACATTTGTTATTAGGCTAAAAGAAACCAATCAAGGACAGACACAATAACAAGCTCTAATCTACATACATGAGCCTTTCATGACGGCATGATCAGTGGTTTCTTGTTTGTTGGTGTGTCTCGTTTGGCGCCTCTGAAGCTTAGGTTCCTCACACTGGTGACAAACCAAAGCAGTTTAAAACGTAAAGAATATATCAGTCAGTAGTGTTTTTATTTTTTGTGACGCACCATAAGGTCAAAGAATTGGATGCTCTTTGTGCTTGGTGGAATTATTCCCGCCTTGCCACTTTGTCATATCGTTTTTTTCAGATGTATAACAGTTTGCATCCCTACGATGGCCTCCCAGTGAAACATCTACAACTAGACAAGTTGAGTACCAGCCTATTTTGTTCCTCTAAAACCTAAATAATAAAACCCTGTGATTATCAGTGGTATTTTTTTAAAGTTGAATCATTTTTGACAAAGCAGTATTTGTTTCTGGGACGAAAACATTTAACTGCATTGTCTGTTATCAAAATAAAAAAAGAGCTATTCTGCTCTGACAATTTATGTGATGTTCTGTGACCAGTGTAAAGATGAGTAAAAGAAATGTTAAGAAAAAAACTTGCTTCCTCCTTTATTCCTTAACATTGTAGTTCACAGTACAATACCATACAGTGTGTGTATATGTACATGTATACACTATTGCAGACCTCTGAGAGTGTGTGTGTTGGTATTTATCACTATTTGGGGATGCTTTACATTATGTTTACACATTTGTGTTGTGGGGACCTCTGAGGGTGTGTGTGTGTGTTGGTATTTATCATTACTTGGGGACACCATTTTGTTAACACAGTCACGTAAAGGGGACCTCTGAGGTTACTGCACACGCCAAAATGTCTTTCAGGTGTCAATTTGCTGCTCAATTCTTGTAAATTGTTTTGACATTACGCTCAGAGCAAGTCACCCCCACACTCTTCCTTACACTCCCTAATATCTATATAGGGATGCATGCTCAACAAAAAGTCATTAGGATTGAATCTGAATATTGTAGAAAATAAGATCTGTGGCAAATTGTCTAATTTAGTCACTTGTTTGCAACCACCATTTTTAAGACACAGAAGCTTCAGACATTAACCATTGGGGTATTTACTGACGTATGTTATGCTGTAGATAAGAACATAAGAATCTTTTTTTTGTTAACCACAGACCTTATTTCAGTCATCTAACCATAGCCTCATCCCAATACCCCTCCTCGACTCCTCTCTTCCCCTCCTCCGGGACTTGACCCGGAAATCGATCAAGACACGCCATTTTGAAGGACGTCCCAATAGCTGAAATACACACGGAGGAGTCAAGGAGGGTGAAGGAGGAGGGGTGCGGGAGGAGACGAAAGGGAGGATACAGGCGAGCAGACTACGCGGAAGTGTTTTCACTACTCGCATATAAAAGCCCCGCCCCCACCTTCACAGCTGGTCGATTTCAACAGAGGAAAACCCACAACTGGAAGATGAGTGGAAAAGCGTCACAAGTGCTATAAGTGCTCACAGGTCCGTGGGAATTATGTGCAATTCATTTCTAAAAGGCTTTCACATTACTATAATTATATATTTATTTAAATGTGGGCTACATTTTACACCAAAACGGAACACAAAAGCAGGACCAACCATCATACATTGAATTCCTTGACTAACAAGAGAAAGATTCATTCATTTAAATAAATATTTAACAACAAATGGGCCGGTTCTAAAGGGTTATTCAGTTAAGCCCGATGAGAGGGGATACAGCTGTGCACATGTCATCATTAACAGACGTCGTTTAAGAGTGACGTTTGAGTGAACGAGGCCATCCCAATTAATACCTGAGGACTCCTCTGTCCTCGCGTCACCTCCTCGTGTCTCGATCGCATCTTACGGAGGCGGAGCTAAGACGCAAGGAAGGGAAAGGAGGAGTCGAGGAGCGGTATTGGGATGAGGCTCATGACTTCGAGACAAGGGAAGGGGAAGTGCTAAAATGCTAATTGATTTCAGGTTTCTCACTCATTGTAGCATATAACTCACTCTTCTACCTTGGGATTAGCCAGGTACAGTTTACCCTAGCCACACGGAGACGGTAACGAAAACGGACCGAATTCGATATCAAAAAAGTCTTCCGTCCACACGCAATCGGCATCAGAAATGTGTCCTTCCACACGAGACCGCTGGAGACGCTGTAGTACATATGCCGGGCCTGTAAGTGGCGCTGTACTTCCGCCACAAAATACACCAAAAGCAGCGAAGAAGACTTCACGAGCATGCATGGTTGCCATGGTTGCCCTTCTGTTTATTCTCCGGGGTGGATTTAGCAGCAGAGGTGGGGAGAGGCAGGGCTCTGGCTCTTTTTCTCCCTCCCAGAGGCAAGCGTGTGCTCCTGCTGTAAATCTCCCCGGTAGTCCACCAGCAGATGAAAAACACCCACCTCTCCGCCTCTTCCAAGGGATGAGGGAAACGTGCGGCAGAGTTTCCGTTATAATTTTGTTCCACTGGTCAACATGTCCGTTAAAGTTGAAATCTTCCGGACAAAATTATAAAAGTGCCGGTCAAAGGTCTTCTTTGTTATTTATTGAGCTTTAGAACAAATGAATAACGACTATATAATAATATAAGAATAATATACGGAGTCTCTCTTTTCCTCCCCCTCTCCTGACAGCCCGTCAGTATTTTCGTTATCAGGAAATTATCGTATATAGGGCGTAATCACGGAGCCGTTTGGCCCCCCAGAGCGTTGCGTCCGCGTTATCGTTTCAGCGTTTCCCTGTCGGCCTTGTGTGGCCGAACCGTCTATCTGATAGAGAACTGTAGCGGATACGACCCGTATAGTCTCCGTGTGGCTGCAGCATAAAAAAGCACTTCTCACTCTTGTCATAATGACTATTAAAGAGACTCTATGAACTTGTATCAGTGAGCTTTGAGTTAAATGCTCCTTTGATCCAGTAAGTGTTCTCCATGCGCATCCTAATTACTGGATTATTTTCAATACTGTGCAGCTTTTGTATGACATTGGTCCAGATTGCTTGAAAGCAGCTAAGCTATTATAGTGAAACCTTTGCTGTGTGTGTGTGTGTGTGTGTGTGTGTGTGTGTGTGTGTGTGTGTGTGTGTGTGTGTGTGTGTGTGTGTGTGTGTGTGTGTGTGTGTGTGTGTGTGTGTGTGTGTGTGTGTCGGCAGAGTGCAACAGTGTGAAGTGGGGGAGGCTAAATCCCGGGTCTGAACATCTTGACAGCTCTGTTGCGAGGTGAGAATGGAAGATCATCATTTCATGACACTTCTGCCACAGGGTGTGTGTATCCTGCTGCTCAGCCCTCACCACACACACACACACACACACACCTTTCCCTGCTCCTACTTCACATTCCTCACCCTCACTGTCTCTCGTGCCACTGCACTCTATTACCGGACTGACTGCTTTTAAATGCAAAAACAACAAACAACATTGTAATTTTCCTTCAGTCAGCTTAGATGTGTATAATACAATATTGAGATGCAAATTCAAAGGGATTCATTTACCACATTTCCATTGTGTTTTGAGCTTCTTGCAGCATTTTCTTTTATTTGCAGCGCTTTTAGTAAACGTTGCACATGTTTCGTCAAGTTGGTGGAGATGTTTCTTTATATGCATGTGTTTTTATATTTGCATGGTTTTTTCAAGTGCAGCACGTTTCTTCTAATGTAGGTGTTGTGGTCGGTTGTAGCGCGTTTTGCACCTGGCGGCCACAGTACTAATGAAATGAAGATGTTTGTTGATTCATATTGTAATATGATAATCATTTCAGAACTGGATGTCGTAATTACATTACATTTAGCCAACGTTCAAATTGAAAATGTTGACTATTAATCAAATCTTTTAGCTATTTGAACCTTTTAACAACTAATTTCTTTGAATTGTAACGTTTTCTTCTTTATTGTTTGCTATAAAGCTGCAATAATTAGTTGACACATTTTTTGTCAAAAAACACATTAACTCTATATGTGTGTTTGTGTCTGTTTGAATACTGTATACATGTCTGCATACACAATACAATGCTCTCACTCTTTCCTTTACCCCTTCATCCCTCCTTGCCTGAGGCAAAGAGAATGAAGGGACTTGCCAAATAACACATTCACACACAGACAAACAGTCACACACACGGACAAACACACACACATTGGCGGGCAAGGAGAGGGTAACTGTCATTTGTCAACAAGGAACTTTGGCAGCTCCCCGTTGCCATGGGAACTGTCTGTTGCAGAGGACTGGTTTTGCATCACAAGGTCCTGGAATTGGCTCCAAAGCCTCGGAGGTCCCTCCCCTCCTCCATCCGCCTCACCTCTGTCTCTCACAGCTCTAAACAAATTGTCAGGATTCTTTTCTCTGTCTTCTCCCTGTTCTGCCTTCTTCACCTCACACACAGAATTCCTGTTTGATTTCCCACCTAGGTGTTCACATTAAGAAAGGTTTGTATCTGCTCTTTTATTTACAACAAATATAAGATAGATAGATAGATAGATTGATTGATTGATTGATTGATTGATTGATACATAGATGGATAGATAGATATAAATAAATAGATGGATGGATAGATATATATATAAATGGATGGATAGATGGATGGGTAGATAGATAGATAGATAGATAGATAGATAGCAATGTTGGATGTTAGATAGGTTGGTAAGAAGTTAGGTAAGAAACCATTCACACAACAGGGACGATTAAATAACAACATAAAGGAAGTTAGGTAGGTACATAAGAAAGCAAGGTAGGCAGATACTCTAAGTATTTCATAGGTAATTAGGTAGGAAGGTAAGTAGGTATGAAGTTAGGAAGGTTGATAATGTAGGTATAGGTCATGGGTAGGTTGATAGGTGAGTAGCTAGGTAGGAACACAAGTAGATATGAAGTTCGGTCGGTATATAAGGTAGGTACTGTAGGGACGTAGGTATGTAAATAAGGAAGATAGGTAGGTAGACTTGACATCTTCGACTGTCTTCCTTTTCTTGAGATACGCCAAGCAAAGCACGTCTTCGACTACATTATGGACACATGAATACTGTACACACTGTTTATATGTGCAGAGAGAGCTGTCATTTACCCTTAAAAAGTAGAAATGATCATGTTTGCCAAATATATGATGTACCTCATAAATCATGCCATGTCACTTTACAGTTCAAATGCTGCAGTATTACTTGGTGTCATATCTGAACCATATTTTGTAGTTTTGCCAACCCATAGAAGCATTTCCATGGAAAGGTGTTTTCTTTACTTACCTTCAGCTTATGGAATGTAAAAATACTTTAGACCTTTAGTTAAACACCATGCGGCTGCAATCATTGAGTCTTGGGAAAGTTGAGATTAAATATAAGATATTATCCAAGAGGACTTGAAACATACACCAGAATGCACAGCTGTACCAAACAAGGACTACAGCCTTGATTTACCCTCTGCATGTGTTTACAGACTGTTATGCCTGAATTTTCTTCCATGTCACAGTCGATCCCCATAGGATCAATTTGATTCAGCTTACATAACAACTCTGGCTGTTGTTAATGTTTCTGGGTCTCTCTCTCCAGCATCATGCATCTGTGTTCTCAGTGCAGAAAGAAGCTGTTG